GTAGTCCATGTTCATACACAAAGTATCAAGAAAAATCTAGTCAACACTTTATTATAGTTTCAGTACTCTATTGAATGTCTCATTTCAGTATCATTATATCTCACTGTACTTGAGGGTGAATTTTCTCCCATATTTTTCACCTGGTTGGTCTGCACAGCCAGGGATGAAACTGCTCTAACGTGTGAAATACTCCTGGACTCATTCCTAAACCATCATGGACATACTGCCAAAGTGAGCCAGGGAAGCAAAACATTTGTTGTCCATAGGAGTGCTATAATATTATTTTTTCCTCTGTGTGCTTTTCTCAGTTCTGGTTCATTAATTCAGTACATTGTTATACTATACTGGTCTACAACTGTAATTTTTCTATGCCTCCTTTCTGTGTCACAATGTTCACAACAGGCCTATCTTAATATTATTTCACACAGGACTGCACAGAGAGTTTATGAACATTTCATGGTGCTCAAAAACTAAACCCAGAGACCTCCACAACTACTTCCTTTGAGACAGACATGAGGGGAAAGATGGTGAAGCTTGGGAGATGCCTTAAGACATATTTATTTTACAAATTGAAGGTACTAAAATTATCTTGATATAGGAAAACAAAAAACACACCACACATTTTGCCAAATGTAAATTAATTAGAAGAGAAATAAAGATACGTTTATCTTAGCATAATGGTAAGATTGTACCAGTAATAATCAGGTATGAACTCAGAGCATAATGTTCAAGAATCAGTATAAAAGATAAATATACTAAAAACAACATAAATGAACAGTCACTGAAATAGTCTCAAATAATGAAACATTTAGATAAATTATGAAGATGAATATAGTGCCTCATATATCTGTGTGTCAAAAAGAGTAGTAATATTTCTTGCATTAGTACAAAAATGAATAGTTTTGTCAAGTTTTTATCCTGATAAAGACTTTTTCTTATGGCTATAGAAATGTATTGAAGTATTTAAATCACCTGTCAAATATAAGCCTACTCGAGCACTGACACTTTAAAAATATAATGTGAAATCAGACATCATTTATATTTGCTAGGATTTTTCATGTTGTCTTATACAAATGGTGAAGCTAGATGCAGAAATAGTAGATTTTCAATTTTAACCTTTTTTCTCCCTAATTTCCAGAATGTAATTCTGCCCCCAGCTGGTTAAGACATAGCTGACATAGGAGACTGAAAGGGAGAGAATATTGAACCTATGAACTCTGCTTCTTCTCAGATGATGACTACAATTTGCATGCAAAGTATCAGCAGCTTTACTGTTCAGCACAGGTGCTAATAGATTCCAAGTTCTTTATGTAAGTATATACTGCACCCTCTTCATTACAGCACTAATAGCAGAAAGGTGAAACTGTTTTCAGGAAACAGAGTTCATTGATTACTCCTACAGAACATTACAATTAATGACATGGGTCTGTGGTAATTGCTAAACCTGTATCAGATCAACTGAAAAGAAGAAATTTAATACACACTCCCATCACCATTACATTTTAGAAAGTTGCATACATCTACTGTCTGGGATGGATTTTCACATGCCTATTTGTCTTCCTATTGCTCTTTTTCATCAGGTTCTAAGTCTGTCTTTTTGTGAACAGAACGTATGTACAGAAAAATTTATATGACTTTCACTCCTTTTTCAGGTATAATTGCAGCCCATCCTTATCTCCCAGGGAGGAAAAAAAACAAAGGAAAAAGAAAAGTAAGGCAATAGCAAAGCAGGGAGATAAGTTATTATTATTACCTTTTGAAACAAAAGCTTTCATTCACCCTTCAACCTCTTGCCACTATCTTCTATCATATTTCAGAACATCTTTTCTGATGCAGCAGAAGAATAGATTACAAATACCTTCAAATTCATCTAACTTACTTTCTATTCCATATATCACTTCTTCATATGCAGCTGTTTCTGTCACATCAGCAATCCACTACCTCAGTAACAGTCCTGGTGCATCCTCTCAGGTTCTTGGTATTAGTTTTCAACACTGTGAACTAGAGGGGTCAACGTCATGAGGCTTAGCCCCCATATTTAGGCTCTGTATATTCAAATAGATAGGACTGGCAAGAAAATATGGTGTAAGTGGAAACAAGACAAAAAGAAAGAAAATGGAAAAAGTTATGCTTGGGGAAAAAAAAAAAAAAAAAAAAAAAAAAAAAGGAAGTCTAGATTTTAGCATCTAAGCTGCAGTGCAAAATACCAACAAAATGAAATGGTCCCTCTAGGAGAGCCCCACTGGATGATACAGAGTCTGGTAACTGCTGCTTTGCAGTTTCCTGCTGTCTCCAGAGGAGAGGACAGCCTCAAGAACATATGGTCTGCCTGAGACCTGCAGAAACTGAGAAGGCTGAACTGGACATTGTGAAATTTTGCAAAGCATTATAGCAATATAAGTATTAAACGAATTTAGGAAGTTTACACCTCAGGAAGGTGGGATTATAAAGCAGAACAGCTGCTGAGGGAGCACATTACTAAAATAAGGGGATATGACAATTCAACCCATATCCCTTGACAAAAAACCTCTGGAACAGTTTTGGGAAGAGGAAAGAAAGAGGAGGAACATTTTTTGGAGGTGGGCAAGGCACAGGTCCAGTAGGTGCAAATAACAAACAATGCTGCAAACTCACCAGATTACTCCTTGGTGAAGTACTGACCACAAGCTGAGGATATCAAAATAGAAACATAAACACATGCCTGAAGTGGGAAGCAGCAGACCTAGTCAGCTACACCGTGAAATGACTGGGTATCATGAATTTATTAGAGGCAGGGTGGTATGACTTGGCTGGGTTTCATGCCTATTGGATGAGGTGTGGAACCCTGGTCAATATTTGCTAACTCTGAGAACACAATTACCCTATGCCCAATATACAAAGCTTTTGAAATCCTCCTATAATTGTTTTTAAAGGCTTAATTTCTTTTTAGAATTTCCCTAACAGCAACAGTACTGATTTGCAATTTTCTCCAGAAAATAAATAAATAAATAAATAAAACATGTTGCAGGTGAGTTTTTTCCTTGCATTCCATAGCAGCAGGAATTTCTTTGTTTTCCTCCACCTTTTGCTTGTCATATAGCAGCACTTATGAAAAGTGTTCAATTAAATGAGCACTGGAAAAACTATCTTCCCTCCACTGTCCTTTTTTAAAAATTATCTTCATTGCACATTTGCTTAGAAAGGATCAGGAGACAAAGCTAGGAGAAGGTCTGAGCACACCCTGAAGACACTCAGAACAAAACTCATGACAAACAGCCAGGCTATGAACTACTGTGTCTGCAGAGAAAAAATATTAATAATAATTAAAAAAAAAAAACACAAAAACCTTTCAGTCTGTCAGCAAAGATCCAATAAGAATAAAAGTGTTCTCCGTTATACATTAGCTCTTGTGTTGTGATTATCTTCTATGGGGCCAACTTCTTTGCTGATTCATGTGAATACACTGCACAGATCTACACTAATAGAAAATTTGGGCCATAGCATGACCTGAAGTTATAGTCCTCCATACTTGCAAAGAACATAAACCACAAAGGCCAGTAAAAGGAATGAGAGTGGCCAAGATAATCTGGCACACTTCCAGTCTGATTTTTATTTTCCTTTTAACCTTCTAATTTAAAGTATACCTCCGTATTATAATCCTAGTATCTCTGACTCCATAGCTCTCCTTTTCAAGGTTTGCTTGACCCCCCACCCCACCTCCACCAGAATTCTTTTAAAATATTCGCGTAATTTGTGGTCAAAACTAAACCCCAATTAGGTCCATCTGGGGAAAGAGGAAAAACCTGAACTCCATCTTGTTGTCTTGAACATCCTATGGTTGCATAATAACAAAATGCCTTTGTTCTCACAACTAAAGTATGCATCAAGAATCAAAGAAGCAAGAAAAAAAGGGAATGTTCCAAGCTATTACTGTAACAATCCAATTACAATGCCTATCAAACTTAACTTCACAGGTTATAGCTCCTAATTGCCTGACAAAAATTGACACTTCAGTCGCAACAGCATAATATAATCAGAGTCCAAATTAAATTTGATCGTGGGCAGAAAACGATGCTATCATTCGGCGGCATGGAAACAGGAGATCAACTAGCATGATATCAAGGATCAGAAATGAAAATTATTCATTAATGGCAATGGTTTTCTGATAATGGAAATGACACAGTTCAGACGGCTTCGTAAAAACACTATTAATTAAAAAGATGATAGACCTAACAAGGCATAGAAACCAGTGGAACCTTTCTCTGTGCTTGTTAAGGTGAAGGATGACAATGTTTAAGAACAGGAGTTTATGCACTTTTGTGAAAAGTATTCCGCTGATTCTGTAGCAAGTTTACTGGTTCTTGCTTAGTGAAGCATCTTTCTCTAGGGTGCTATGTTATAGGGACATAAAAAGTGTCTAAGGCCATAATATGGCATTGTAATAAGCATGAATACTACCAGCTATAAAACAGAAGGGTCCAATTCATAAAAAAAAATGCACATGGGATTTTTGCATACTCCCAAGAAAAAAGTGCAGAGAAAACTATTTTATTTCCCTGTGCAAGCAGCTCTGTCTCCATTTTACTTTGGAGAAATACAGAGGTGCTTTATGCCGAAGAAAGAGCACACCAGAAATTCACCCTCAAAAGAAGTTTTCCTGAGCAGGAAAAGTAAAGGCCAGTGTCTCGGATTGCTGAAGTTCAGACAACGCCTCTGTGTTCTTTACACAGACCTTCAGATATTACCACAAGGAAAAAAAAAAATACTAATACAATATCACAAACATTGCATTTGAAATAACCATCTCAAAGAGTTGATGGCCCCACTATTGAAATCAGTGGGTGCCTTTGCCACAGCTGGAACAAATCAAACTGCTGTTGCCCAGTTTGGTGAAGAAAAGGTCTATTGGTTTGCTAACATTTTCCACAATCTCCTCCCATGCATTATGTCTGTGCACCACACCCTGCAGGATGGCTCATCGCCCAGCACTCAGAATGAAAACTACTCTCGAGGACCCTCACCTCTTTCTTCCTCAGTAGCTGAGAGAAGCAAACAGGCATTCCCTGCTGCAATTCCTTGTTCAACAGGCATCTGCTTTGGAAACGCACCAGCAAAGGCCTCTGAGACTTCTTGCTGTGGGAGACTGAGGTTTCAAAAGCCTGAAAAATGAAGGACTTTTGTAAAGAACAGAAGGGAAGAGCAGGCAAAGTTAGATGCTTTCCTTGGGAAAGGATGACTCAGAGCAGATCCTCTTGACCCTAGAAAGAAAATAGTCAGTTTTAGCAAATCAGAGACCTGGGAAAAAAATCTTATGTTCCTTAGACTATATAGCTGAGCCTCAATCAAATCCGAAATGCATCATCCAAAGCTGCCTCTAACCCTTCTTCACCTGATAAGTAACATCCTTGAAGATCACCTCACTTCCAAATACAATACAATACAATACAATAAAATATTTAATGCAAATCTGCTTGGAGCAGCTCTAAGAACAGAAAAGCATGCAAATAATGGATGTACTTTTCACTGTCCTTGATTATTTGATAGTCCTTGTACAAACACAATGCACAAAGCCTGACTGAATTGTCAACATTCTTTAAAAGAATAAAAATTCAGAAGAGTGATGATATTACCTAAAATGTATATCAGCATTGCATTGCACCGCACCGATAAGAGCTTTAGGGCAGGTCCTGCAGTTTCAGTGCATCTTTCTGGAATACTTTTTAGCCCTTTAAACATGATCATTTAAGACAGATGCAAGGACTGTTGGAATTCAACATGCAGACAGCTCAGGAGGAGACAGTAATATATTAATGGAGAAAACAGCTACCCTATAACATCAGCCAACATGTTATTAAGCCATGTTGCAGCTACCACATGATTATCTCTTGGGTTTTGGTAACTTGACCTCATGAAAGGGTGTTTATAGATAGCTCCAGAAATTTTTTAATATATGGTATTGATAATATTTTAATGTGTTGGTCTGTGTTTTTTTTTTATTTTTGTTATTGTTTGTTTTTATTGAATAACAAAGGTTAGAAGCAGGAGAAATGTAAAACAAGGGAAGAAACAGAGACCAGAGTTTGTGTTAATGGTGGTTTTTGTTTGTTTGTCTGTTTTTAAATAACTACATTACATTGCCTATGATGTATTATAGGCTATAACGTAAATTTCTTTCTGATAAGAGAGCCCATGTTCAGCAGTGAAAGCAGGCATACTTATTAATCCCTGCAAGCCGTGTATTTAAAATAGAGGCAGACAAAAAAAAAAAAATCCATTGTGACTATTAATCCTGCAGTGTAAGGTTATGGATTGAGTCATCTTATAGATAAATTCCCCCTCTAATTCCAGCAAATTAAATCCCAGGTATGTCCTTTAAGGAATCCAGGGTCAGATTCATACCCACTGAGTCTCACGTTTAGTGGGAATTTTCTGATGAAAAATTTTGGTTGAAAAAAAGTGTTCGCTTCGTCAACTTGGCATGTTTTGTGGGAATCCTCCTCTGCTCAGGGATGGTGTTTCATGTATAAAAGAGAGTGAGAACATGTAGACTAACAAGTAGGTCAGTAGTCAGGATGTCCTGTGAACAAAAGGAATCCATGCTGTGTCTATGCAAAACTCTCGAAGAGGCCACATTGGTAATTCCAGATTACTGAGTCACTCCATTCTTACTCCCCTGCCTCTCTCCTCATCCCACACCTCTTTCCTGTGAAAATTCTGAGTGGTCCTGAGCTCATGCTACTGAGAGCTCAGTGTCTCCAGTGAAGCCATTTCCACCTTATCTCAGCTAACAGTGTAAAATCAAACCATTTGCCATTCATTAGTTCAATCCTGGCTACAGAATAATCACTGGACAAAGGAATTCACCTCTCTGCACCCTGCAGGCATTTGAATCCCACAGCCTGCAAGGAGGAAACAGGCAGAAAACCCAGCTCAGGTAGGGCTGGCAGCACTCATGCAGTCTCACCTTGGATTTTAACTTTTGATGCGCACAACCTAGAATTCTTTGGTTTTCCAGCAGTAGTCACTGAACCAGGAAATACACAGCATTAAGAGGAAAATAAATAATGAAATTAAGCTTAACAGGGTTGCTGGCCCCTTTTCAGATCCCCCATTCTAAAACTTGCAAGAATCACCATTAGGCACTTTGCCAGTTCTATTTCCCCGGTGGATTCAGGCTTATGCACCACTCAAGAGGAGTCTGTTAATGACTACAAAGATCCACAGCTGTTTACAGTTCAGACTCAGTGGTGGACCAGGCAATAAGCTTGATCCAACAATGAAGTTGTTGGACTCTCACAGCAAGAGGAGACATTGTGTCAACTATTTGCTTGCTCATAGCGCGAGTGACTACCAGGACAGCTTAGCGGGGCTGTAACAAACAGGGAAAGGGGTAGGTATGGATTGGAAGAAGCTGTGCAGGGCCTTGAAAATGAAAGAAGAAATGCATAAAGAAACCAGGCTCAAATAGCTCACAGAAGCACAAATGAAGCAGCATAAATAAGCCAGGGAATTTATTTCCCACACATGCAGAAAGACAAAAAAATGCATTCTGAAAAATATTTCAAAATATAACTATATTCATTTGTAGAAGTGTCCTGTGATATTATCTACTGCCATTTTTTTTGTTGTTGTTTATGTGTTGGTTGTTTTTGTTTGTTTGTTCTGTTTTTCTTGTTGTATTTTTTTGTGGGAAGCCTGGGGTTTTTCATGAATGAATAAATGAGAGCAACAGCTTCTCACAGTAGAGTCTGGTCTTTGGGAAATGACAGCTGAAGGACAGAAAGAATACCAAAAACCTGCAAAGACTGGTGGGAAGTATAAGAGAGGCTTACAGTAAGCTTCTTCTCATTTTTAGATACAGAACATAATGTTAACAAAAGATATGTAAGAAGGTATTTGAGGTAAAAAATAAAGAAAGTAGACATAAAAGGCAAGAATGATTCTATCAGGGGATACAATCTTTCAACATGGTAATGGTAACGTGGTTTGAGAGCATCCATTCTAGCCGTGCTCTGACCACAAGTTCAAAGTGTTTCATGACCAGGAACAGATGTAGGAATCTACTTTTTTTTTTTTTCTCTCTCTCTTTTCTTTTTTTTTTTTTTCTTTTCTTTTTTTTTTTTTTTAATGTACTTTAAAAAGGATTCCTAGATATCAACATCATTTGGCATATCAGCAGCTCTGGAAAAAAAGACGTCAAAATCATTACAATTGATGAAATTAGGAAATTTGCTAAAGAGGCACCTTTGCCGAAGCTAGATTTTAAAGCATGACCTGACAACATGCACTGGTCCAAGTTCATTTCACTTAGAAGCAGTTCATTTATCATTAGGACAGCATTTTCAGTCTTTTCAGCTAAGATGGTTCCCAGAACTTCCACATCTGGTGCCAAAGGGTTGTTAGAAACTTATAGAAAGCATTAAGGACATGTCTGTGTGGGTGGGCAGCTGATCAAGCAATTTATTGATTAGCCATATAGTATTAAGTACAAAAATTCAAAGGGAAAGGATGAAACTATTTCTGGTAAGGTGAAACCCTCCATATTTACTGAGCAGTTTATCCACAACAGGAAATGCTTACTTGATTGCTTGATTGCAAAGTCAGGCAGGTCCTCAGCCCTACTGACTTCACTGGAGCTATGACAATTTAGCAACGGAAGATCTGTGCCCCCAGATAATTTGTTAATGCAGTGGCGAGCTCTTACATTTATAAAAATAAAAATTAAAAATAAATAAATAAATAAAACAGGACATCAGGAATTGCAAACATGAAAGACCTTTCATTTGGTCACTTTTCTCACATAGAGGATTTTCTAATAATACACAGTAATTCAAAAAGCAGGAAGAGTAGAAATGTGTAAACTTGCAAAGTTCTGTTTCAAACTGAACTTTTGTTTCTGACAAGTGTAAAGTGCATCTATAATATAAATTGGGGAGCAGAATACTTACAGAAAACAAACCTCATCCAAGGGCAGAATCGCACCGAAGCTTTCATCAACTCACTGTCTGTCCAAGCCTTTCAGCATTCCAGACTTACAGCACAACTTTAGAGTCAGAGCCTTGCCCAACTTTAGCTCTGAAAATTCCCTTGTCTCTACATTAAAGTCAAAATCAGATGCCCAAACTAGTGTTTGCCTCTGAACAGCCCTCTGAAAATGTACCACTCTATTCTATGCCATTGATGCTCAAAAGAACAATCACCAGAGAAGATAAAGGGGTTTCTATAATCATCATAATTAGCTCTTCTAATTCAAGCTAATATCAGGAGGTGAAGGAATGTCATCGTGTGGCACCTGCTTACATATTTTCCAGAGTGACTGCAACCTAAATATTGGCATCCAATTAGAATGAGAACACTATACTGTGCCATAAGGCACGAGTTACCATGAGCTACTGCCCAAGATGGTTGTTATTAAGCAGCTGGATGTCAAGAATTAGAAGGCAAAAATTTGTACCATAAATGTACCACATTTCAGAGCCCAGCCCTCATGGACTAAAGCACTGCATGGCTACACAGCTTTGCTCAGTTCCCTCACCCTCATCTTCCATTCAATTTCTTCAAGGGTGCAGAAAACTCTTTCGGTATCAAGTAAGTGAGATCAAAGTAAATTCATAATATGCATGAACGGGCTCACTTTGTATAATATTAACAATGTAATTCCTGTCAGAAAAATGAAATTAAAATGTAAAAAAAAAAAAATAAAAAAAAAATAAAAAAAAAATTGATTAAAAGCAACAAAGCAGCAAGCAAAGAAAAAGATGTCTGGGCTTTGAGGGGAAGTTATAATAACAGACAAGAGGTTTTGTTATCCGACTCAGCCCTCTTTATAGCCCCTTGCTACAACAGCATCTTGGATTCTAGATACTATTCTCTATTGGTACCTAAGGGACTCAACCTGCAGATGGTCCCCATTTCAAATATGTTTTTTCTGTAGCCATTTAAGATACCAATTTATATTCCCTGAAAAAAGGGAAACTACATTTTTTGTAGGTTATTCTCTTATCTCAGACTTGGTACGAGTGAAGTGCAAGTCACAAATACTTGTGCTCTTTCCTCCTACTCATTTTTACCTGTATGTAACATAGTAGAAGCTGCTACTGAAGTGACTGCATGGCACTCTGTCAAGTTGTGGGATATCACATGATCTAACAAACCCTGCTAACAAATTAGATATGCTGTGATTCATCAATTAGGTAGAGAAATATTACTTTTTTTTTTTTCATTTATTAAAAGAAAATAAATAGGTACTTCCCCAAAGCTAAGATATCATTCTGCAATGCATAGGAGTTTGCTGCTATCTGCAGGTAAAATATTCTATTACTGAGTAAAAATGTGAAAAGCAAGCCAAGCATTTAGCTTCTGTTTTTTAATTGCAGCTTCACACAATTCCATATAAAATGGAATTCCACAGGTCTAGGCAAGACTGAATGAAAGTACAGATCCCTCACATGGGGCTGAGAGGAATGTTTTCTTCCATCTAATATGACAAACTGCAGTCACGCCACTCTTAGCATGTTTTGCTGCCAACATCTGCTGCTAACTGAGGCAGTCAGGCTTTCACACAGCCATCCAGGGCGACTGACACTTTCTAGCTACTGCAGAAGCAAGGAACTCCTGGGACATAAGAGTGTCCTCTCAGTAGTCCTCAGATGTCCCCTGAGCTGTGACAGACTGCAAAATCAATGAGACATCAAGCTGGTTCCACAAATGCCAAAACTTTCAGGAAGACTGTAGACTTTATCAGGAAAGACAATGCAAAAGGGTTACAGAAAAGTTGTGATTTTGGCCCTCTGTTCACACAGCATGGCTAGAGAGACAGCCATCATACAGATCAGCTCTCAAACTCCTCTACTCCACTCTATTATATTGTATGGTAGCATTTTGTTTTTGTTTTTGTTTTATTATTATTTATTTGTTTTATTTAGTTAGTTAGTTTCAGTTTATTCCATTACAGTGAAAAGAGGGGTATCATTACTTAATTTCACTGACTTCAAAAGTCAGGAGGAGACAAAAGATTTTGCATCACCCTGTGAGAAACCTATGGCCATGAAAACTAATCTGCAACTGTTGCAAACAATTTGTGTGGTTTACAGTGCTTTACCTGTTAGGAAAAGTTTACCAGGAATACTAGCACAATTCCTTGGGAATACTAGGGATGACATACTTTGTCTTCTTGAGCCTGAAATAGATTAAGATTTGTTCCAAATGCAACAAGACAGCTTTGATTATTCTGTAGACTGAAAGACAGACATAACAGAAGTGGTTAAACAACACTTCATCAAGCAAGATCATACCAAAGGAGTCATTACAGGAAATATTGACCACAGGAAATGACATGTCCAACATTATTTCATCAAGGCATAGATAATCATCTTGTCATTTTGCTGTGCTGTGTTGCACTGCTATTGTACAGCTTGAGCTTGCGCTTGCTGTCAAACTCATCCCCAAGGGTCTGATCAAAAACTAAAGAGTCACCAGTGTTAAACCTTTCCTAGACCACCATTTTCTTTACTGTGGCCTAAATTTAAGAAAAGCTGACATAACTTTTGCTTTGTTTTCAAAGAAGAGTTTCAGTATGCACTGTTTTCAGCTTGTGGGTAAGAGGTGAGCACCAGAACCGCTTCACACAAAGAGAATACATAACACAATAGAAAGAAAATTACAAAATATCCAACATCAGAGATGCTCCTTTTAACCTTTAAGTGTAGTTGAAACCTAATGACTTGCTAATTATCAGGAGTTTAATGATGCCTTTAAGCAGAGGTTGTTCTACAGGGCACAATGTCCATGAACCTCTAGGATCTGGGGTTACCTTGTGACTTCAGCCTGCAGTGAATTCTCCTCTTCTACAAATCTGCTTCTAAGCAAGTTTTAACCTCTCCAGCCCCCCGATTGTTGCTACCAACAGGGAAGGAAACAATTTTGAACTCTGGCGTAGGCTGGGCTCCAGATGGCTGCCAGCTTTTTAAGCGCTGAGTTGACTAACCTTGCTCAAAGCAGGTCTATAGAACACAGTGCTTCAAATATCAGTGTCTGCTGGGATTGCATCTATATATGTGGAGTCCCACAGTTCCTATCACTGGCATAGTTGAATGAGTGAATCAGGAGCATGAAGGATAAAATTGAGGAAAATGCAGGAGACCTCTCTCTCCCTCTGATGTTGAATCAGCCCATTAAACAGCAGGGAGCAGCTGAGCATAGATTTTCGATGAGTTTGCTGACCACTTAAAGCAAATGAGTATAACCTGAGGCTGGGAAAGACCAAAGGGTTGACTTCCACGTGGAGATGAAAAGGACTGTGCTGAATTCAGCCTAGGTTGAAGAAATGGTTCAGGATGTACCGGATGAAGTCATTCATCCTCAGAGCCATTTTGTGTGAACAAAAAACGATTGGCAATGATGAAAATTCAATCCGTTTATTATGATATTTATAATTATTATCCTGGGCTGACAACAATAAAAGCACCAGCCAAACCATTCTGAAATGGAATCACTCACTTTCTCAGAATAAACTTTATGGGGACTGTTTGATGCTGTTTGCCTGGAGTCTGTCAGTCTGAACTGAGCCACAAATAAAGTCTTTTCAAATGTAAGGAAATAGCTCTGGGATATGTAATATCTGATGTAGAGAGAAAAGGCACCATCTTCATCCCTAGCCACAGGAAAGCCTGTTTTCTTTGGTTCTTGGCCCATATGAGAGTCAGTGCATGAAATATAAATTGCTGTTCAACATTTAAGCTTGGCAGAGCCAATTAATACTGCCTTCTCAACATGGGCTTAGAGGTTATTTCAATTAAATCCTCTGTACAAAAGTACACTGTATTTCTTGGTATTTCTGAGAGGCTGTCCTCAGTGGGTAGTTTAAGTTCTGCAGTGCATTCATCTCTCCTTTCGATTATAGCCTTCCTCTCCCTCCTGATATCCATGTCACCCTTCTGCAGGCCCACCAAACACTGCTGCCAAATAGATGGCCTGTTCAGATCTCTCAATCAGTTCCCATAAATCCATCACCTCATCTCATATTTTTCTCCTGCTCCTCTAGGCTCTTCTCTTCCATCTTTGCTCAAATAATGTGCTCTGTTTCTGTTCTGAGAGCCTACAGACTTTCTGAAGGATGACTGATTACTGTTCCAACAAGAAGAAGAAAAATTTGTATGTAAAAAATTGAAGAAAGAGAGAGTATAGAGTCAAATGGGGGGCCATAAAACTGAAACATATTTTCTCTATATTTCTATAAGGATTTCTAAGGTCATGTTGATTCAACCAGCTCCTTGAGACAAGGAAAATTAGGACTTGGTACTCAGCCAAAACCAGAAAATCTTGAACCCAGTGTAAAGGACATCTTATTTTTTCCTTCTTCTAAGGGCTCGTTACTTCTGCATAGTCCATAAAACTCCTACCTATCCCAAATTTTCTCAAGTTTCCTGTTTAGTTGACTTACAAAGAGCAGAATAAATTATGTCCTTGTCCAGATGCTATCCTGGCTCTCAATTCCCTGCTGTCCTCCTGCTGATTTCCACTATAATCTTGGACATATTGCCAATCAGCTCATGCTTCAAGTCTCCAGTAGTGTTATAGGGATGACAGTGCTTCCCAACCTCACAGATATTGTATGAGGAGCAACACATTCACTACTATGAGGTCCTAATGGCAGAAAGGAGAAAGGTGACAGGTCATGTGGAAGTACTGCAGAGAGAATAATTGCCTTCAGTACCTTGCACTACTGCAGTCAAAGTTTAACTATGGTAGGCACCCTCAGGTAAAAAAATAAAAAAAATAAAAATAAAAATAAAAAAATATGGGATTCATCACACAATTTTAGATGTCAAGAACTGAGGCAATCCCATAGCCAGAAGAACCAGTGATTTTCCATGTGCAATTCACCTGGCCTCTTTGAGACATCTACTTCACACCTGTTTCTCTCCACTTACATCTCAGGGAGTCTGTTGACTTGAAAGGCCGGGAAATGGTGATTAGACTTAATAACTTGTATTTGGTTCCTTGGAGTAAGTGGGATGACAAAGTACAAAGAGTATATAACAGCATCTGCAGAATATATTTTGAAAATATATAATGAATATCAAGGGATAACAAGTATTTCATTCATCTCTTTTTTCCAATTGTTCACCTCACTCTTTAAGAGGGGTATTTAAGATCCCTCTTCTATCATATAAGCTGTGTCTCATTTATCTATTCATTTATCAGGAATACTAACTCTATGTGATAGCTGTCTACCTGCATAAAGATGTGTCTTACAACTATTATGGAGAACAAACAAGCTTTCTCCTGCAGAAACAAGCTTTCTCCTGCAGTCCTTCAGTGGTCTCCAGTTTGCTATGCACAACAGTAGCAATGTTCTTCAATGGTGAAACTAAGAAACAGAGGATCTTTCAACCTTTTATCTTAACTAAGATAAAAAAAAAGAAAAATAGAAAAAATAAAAGAAAGAAAAATAGACAGAAAAAATGGCCTCAAAACTTACTGCACAATAAATTTGAAATTATAATCCTTGATGCAGCTGGTATACAGAGGACACTAGGTTCCTAACTTCGTCAGTATGTGTTACTAAGCATCTCACAGTGAGATGAATCTAGCTTTCTTGAAGGCATTGTCGGACAGTTCACCAGACGATTTTGAGTCCTAAACGTAGAATGATTGGACTTTGCTTGTTCAAGTTGAGTTACATGGGGCTGTGTTTTTGAACTGCTTGTCTTTTGAATTGCTTTTCATTGTAGGAGGATCTTATTCCTTTGAACATGCAGGAAAGAGTTTAAGAAACATATTTTTGCAGCACTGCCTTCAATCTTTTTTGCAAGAAGAAATCACAATCAAATTAAGGACCTCCATCCAATCTTTTTGATGGTATTTCTGCACATCCACTTTGTAGAGCTGTAAGTGAACATACAAGTTTAAAGACAATGAGAATTCTAATTCTTTGTCTTTATTTTTCACTTATGTTGCCAATCTATTTCTCTCTTAAACCACATGAAGAACAAGTGTTACCATTGAAGATGCAAGCTTGGTGAAGTGTAGATATTGTGCCTTAAACAAAGATAACATTAATGAATTCACATTCAACCTTTTCAGCCCAGTGATAGAAAAAGATTTTCAGTCACTTTAGCCTGAGCTACATTTGCACTCAGGGTCACCTAAAGAAAAGGACAACACATTTGTCTTTATCCTCCTTGAGTTGTGCAACCACTCAGATAATCTATAGTGAGTTACAAAGTGAAATTAAATACCTTAAAATGCCATCTATCTGATCCCCAATTAAAACATAATCTTTTTAAACCTGTCAATAGCTGCTGACCAGAATCAATAAGGGAAAGATTATGACTGGCACTTCTCCAGTGATCTGCAGTCAGACAGGAAATACATTGCTGTTGTCAGGTCAGCAGGAAAAGTGGAAAGCTGGACCCCAAGCAGAACTACACATAGTGTAGTTGAAATTCCCTGCAATTATACTGCTGGGCAGGGTTTGGTTTTGTTTATTTGTGTTTTTGGGTTTTTTTTGTTTGTTGGTGGTGTTTGTCTTGTTTGCTAGTTTGTTTTAACTAACAAGAGAAGGAATATAATATACATGAAGGTTTTAAAGAAATAACCCGAGGTCATAAAATTATGAATCTTTAGAAAAGTATTTAGAAAAGAACTTTCACTTTGATCCTCCTGTATATACACACTGATGTTCCTAAGTCAGATTCGGATAGTATCTTAAGAATTTGAGGCATACTTCATTTTAATTTGCATTTAAGAAAAACAAGCTTACATTTATCTAAGTAGATCCTGGATATTCCTTGTCATCGTTACAGGAGTTAAAGTTTTAGCTATCTAAATCTAGTGTTTGACATCAGTGACATGAATGATCCCTGGTACAATACGTAAGCTTAGGGTAAGAGGCCTAAACGACTTCTTTTCCTCCTGACCTACATTAGGATTGCTTTTATTTCTAGGCCAGATTGGAAAGTTCAGGATAAAAAACAGTTTCCCGGTGTGCAGAGGGCTTAGTAGCCTTTCTACCCACAAGCTGTTGCTTTCCTCTAGCCTTCCACAGTACAGATTGTGGCACAAATGCTCCAACCTGCCTGTGAAGTTAGAGCAGTCAGAGCAATACACTTATTGTACTGACAAAAAAATCACGAGAGCACTACCTCTAAAGAACATTCTTTCAACACAGTCCATAGCTTCTGTTAAATTGTTCAACAGTCCTTACATCTACATGCTGAAGAGTGGCTCATATATGTGAATTTTCCTCCTCTTGCTGCAAAAGCCATGAAGTAGGCTCTAGACCCAGAAGTTAAGGCTTCTGCAGTGATCCAAACTTACCTAGACCTTAGGAATGGTGAGCACAAGTACTTGCTCTGACAGAGTGTGAAACAATAAATCATTTCATCTCTATGCATCACTTCCCATCTGCAGAAAAGTGGGTGACAAATATTCCATGCCTCTGCTGATCTGGGGAGAAGCACAAAAATCATTCAAAATGTGGACTTGATAAGCACCTAAAATCAACAGAAGCAAAGCTGGGGTCTGAAACTGTTTATGTGAGAAAACACATAAGGGATTGTAGCACAAATGCTGAAACAGCACTTTTAGGTGCTGTTTGCATTTAAGTAGGTTAATGGAAGACATATCTGACTTTTTCCTTGTTATTCTTTGTTTAAACATAACCTTTTAAATGTCCAGTATTCTCAGAAAACTTTGTGATATTTTGCAAATAATTTGGGCAAGAAGATCTCTTTTCAAATAAGACCACTTATTCTAGTTACTTTCCCCAAATAACTTGTAAAGCACAAAATGGTATTTGTAGCTTCCTGATCACTGGAAAACTGACTCAGAAGCATGCATAACATCTCTAAATGCAATAGCAAACATGCCAGTATAAAATTTCTGAAATCTGAATTTCTGAATTCTGAAATTTTGTTCCTGTTCTTTTTAGATGTCCTTTTCTGGATCCCTGCAGATTTCCATATTACAACTCTTGGATATTGGTCACTTCTGTTGTTTCTTGGGTGGCATTATGATGCCACTGTTTTCTTCAGAGCATGATTTTTATGCCTTGCTTAAACAGCAGAGACAAGGTTTTGTATAAAATGACTTCACTGCATTGATATTTTGTAGTTCATCTCTACCTGTTAATGGCACAGAAAATGCTGCTGAAACCACACAGAACACCGTCTGGTCAAGATTAGTTTCAAAAACCAATAAAAACTACTCATAAAACACATGTAAATAATCTAGTTACTGAAAAGTTGTCAGCACTCACGTTGCAGAACATGTGACACAACAGTCACTACCAAACTTTATCCACTCACCGCACCCCTGCCCGGAAAAAAAAAAAAAAAAAAAAAAAAAAAAAGGCATTGGTCCCTAATAAATTTAATAATCTTTTTATTTTCTGGGTTTTCTATTGCTTTCTATGCCAAACTTTGCATTCAAAAGTAATGATCCATCCTCGGAGAAAAAGAACACTTGCAACAGCTTCCAAAATCCTTTGTCTTTGCAAGACTGAAACATATGACAAATAATCACTGAAATCAAAATTATCCAAGGCCAAGCATCTAGGAAACAGACCCCTTCTTAAACGAATAAAAATAGGTATTTCTCATTTTTCCTGATCGGGGAGAAGAGTGATAAGAAGTAAGACAATAACATTCCAAAATGGTTCAAAATACATTTTATGATTTATAACAATATAACGCTCATACCAGAAGGACAAAAACATCCAAAAAAAAAAACCACATTCCAGCACCTACATCCACAGTAAGTAAAGGAGTCTGGAGAGGAGAAAAATCAGGCTCAGAAAAAGCAAGAAAGTTACTTCCAGATTATTTTCAAAGTCTAAATTTAACCAGCCAGATTTGAAAATGCTGGCACATGCACAAAGGAAATTCTTGTCCTGTGTTTGAACATGGGCTGCCTTACTGCATGTTTCAAGCAGTATTTTAATGGTTCATCAATACATTATTAATTGTACCAAATAAAAACAAAGAAATCAGAGGAAAAAAAAAAAAAGCCAGCTGTAAACAGCTACAACCTCTTGTTCTCCCTAATCATTTAATTCCATATATCTATATTGAAATTTCACAGTATGCCTTAGCAGGGCATTGTCACAGCAAAACACTAGAATGCTGATATTGTGCTAGGTCAAGAGTTAAGTAAGTTCATTCCACCCCTGCTATTTTGTGTTTTAAAGCAGTCCTTACTCTAGGCAGAAGCTCTCTGTTATTATTACTTCTTGAATGATAAGAGCTGGGAATGACCTTCAAAAGAGATTTAAATGGCCTTATCCGAAAAACAGTCTGTGAACATCTATAAACTAATGTGCTGCCTTTACACCTCCTTTCTCAGACAGGAGGTGTAAAGGCAGCACATCAAAGTCAGCAAGAAACTTACAATAATGGATTTCAAAGTCAAAAATCTAATGCAAATCTAAGTATTTGCTTATAGACTCTTTGAAGTCTTGACAGATTAAGTTTAGAAGTATTTTCATAGATGGTATCTACATAATCTAACAGAGATGGTTTCAGGAACTGAGTAGATGTTTCCAGTAGATGTTTAGACTGTGGAACACCATTTTTCAATAACATTAATAAAGAATACATTTTTGTTTAATTTCTTTTAAGTTTATAGCACAATGCTGAGCAGTTATAAATGATATTCCTCATCTGTGGAAAGGTTTTTATCTCAATAGAAAAAAATGGCAGATGCATGGGATAAAGGAGTTCCATCTCTGTTATGCTTATATAATGTAATTGACTTTGTTAAAAGACATTTAGGTGTTGTTTGATTTACATCCTATGTCAGCTTAATACATCAACAATGTAAGGTTCCACTTGTTTAAATATTTCATTTTAAAAGGTGCAGTAAGCTCATAACTTCACCAACATCCACTCTTCCCTGACTAAAATGGATTCTCCAGTTTAATCTATTACAGTAGAAGTAAATGAAGACTTCACCCTTTCCCTTGACAGAGGAACTGAGGCTGTTGTATTGGTTATTACCATCAAAGTTGCACAAGGCACGTGTAAAAGTGTGACACTAACTACATAGTATTTTTCCTCTTAAAAATTGTGTAAAGTAAGACTTAAAATGTAAAAATAAAAATTAAAAAGTAATGTTTGTATTGTTTATTGAAGCCATTCTCTACTGCTACATTTATTAGCAGAATTTTTAAGTAACAAAAATAAAGAAAGTGTTTGTTCTTTTTCCAGGTTTGGTATGATTTATGTTTATTTGTTACCATATTATCAGAGCAATCTTTTTCAAATTAGATATACTTACAGCTGTTGGAATTGCTTGGAATTGCTTGAAATGTGTTTGTATACCTAGTCTGCAGCAGAAAAACTGTTGTATGTTTAGTGAAATACCCAGATAGAATTTATTTTGCTGGTGCATTTTTTTGTTAGAGCTTTTGCAAGCAATATTAGAAACAACCAAATAAATAAATAACAATCTTAACCACCATAGCTTTCCAGGAAAACACTGGTAGAAACTTGTTTATACTTTTTCTAAGATTTCAGAGGACCTCTGTACCGATGCTGTACCTTGAGGATACCTACTATAAATTATAAACCAGACATATATAATATTGGGCATATTTTTAAAAAATCTTTGCAACCTTAACTCTCAAAGAATTTTAGAAAGAGCAAATGCATCACCCCACCTTTCTGAACTTCAGTAAACTGAGGCTCTAAAACTGTACATGATACACCAAATTATGTACAGACAACAGAGAGAAGCATAAAACAACCTGGATATCCCACATTCTCTCTTGGTAGACACTTGTTGAACTTACAGGTCGGTGTGTAAAATTACACAAGACAGAACACTACAAACCCAAGTCCTCAGTCTCTCATATGCAGGCTATCAGAAAACATAGTGATGCTGCCTCCGAGCTTTAATTGGATTCTTTCCCACACACTCAGGAAAACGTGGCAGAGAAGAGGAACTGCAGTCTTTTGTGTGTCTCAAAATTGTGTTATAGAGTTACTTAACACCTGCAAAGGTTTGGAATTGTAAAGTGCCAAATATTATCAGATGTGGGCTTGAACAAAACCATCAGTTCTACACTATATACGCAGGAAGTTTGACTCCTTCATATAGCAAAGTATGCACAGCACTATTTTGAAACTGAAGTGAAGTTCAGATCTGACCTGGTTTCTGGACAGGCCATTCTCTAGTCTGAGGAATTAAACTACTTAAACAAGCTGCCACACTGCTTTGCCTTCCTGAATCACAAAATTATCTTGACTAAACTCCAGTCACACAGAGTGAACATACTGTGTTCATCAAGCTGCCTGTTTCTCTGAGTCCAAACCAGAACATACATGTATATGAAAATACTTGCTCTCTTTCTTTCTCAGTAGGTGTTTATAAGACAGCACTAGACTGAAACAGAGATCTGGGATTTTTACCTTTCACAGCCTGGGTAGCTGGGATAAGCCATTTCATATTTCTCTTCTCTAATTCTCTGTCTTAAATGGAAGTGACAACACCAGTTCTGCAGTTTTGCAATCCACAGACATTCTCCACAAAAGTTCATATGATTTCATTTTCCATTTTTGGTACACTGGCTCTTTTTTCCACTGGTGCTGAACTCCAGGTATTTGATGACTTCTGTGTTAGGTTACATGCATAGGACTGCACAAAGTGCACTAGCTAGACCCCACTTGCTTCCAGATACGTTACAGGTATTCAAAGGTTGACAGCAACCCCCTTCTCTTCCTGGGGATGATGTGAAACTGCAGGGTTACACAAGTGCCCTAAGCAGAGTCCCATTCACCTTTACAGTGGGGATGAGAGATTTAAACACCAAGTAATGTTTGGTACCACTGCCCTAGAGTGCTTGTTCTTTAATGAATTCATCCTTGGGAGCTATTTTGGGGGAAAAAGGAAAAAAAAAAAAAACAAAAAAAAAAACAAAACTTTCTGCTTTATGCTTGTGTTTGTTTTACTTTTGAGGTGTGATCAAAGTAAGTCCTGACCGTGTAATCATTTAATGCATTTTGGCTGCAGTTTCAGCCTCCTTTGAAATTTATCCCTTTTCTCTTGCCTGTGACAGCCAAACTTTACCTCCAGGTAGTAAAGAAGGCTTACAAACTCTTTTATATCTCACATCTGCTTTCAGCCCATTAATCACCCAGACTGTAGACAGCTTCTCCCCTGTCTTATGTAGTGTGACTTTGTCTAGACTAGGAATTAAAGGGTGAATTTTAATATGGTCCAGCTAACATGTTAAATGTGGACCAGGCCATGTATCCTTTAACTCATGTTCAACCAGGCAAGTTGAATAATTAGGAAGAAATTATGCTTCAGCATGACAAGTTTAGAATGTGCCAAAAGATGTTCTTTCTTATTTAAATTACAAGCAAAATCTTGGCCCGTACAAATTCAACATAAATTTGCTATTGACTTCTACTGACCCCGAATTTCCCCCATAACTTTAAAAATAC